TTTTTTTTTTTTTTTTCTTCTTCTTCTTCTTCTTCTTCTTCTTCTTCTTCTTCTTCTTCTTCTTCTTCTTCTTCTTCTTCTTCTTCTTCTTCTTCTTCGTCGTCGTCTTCTACCTTCCTTCCCGATCTTTATTCCCCACCACCCTCTTCCCACTGGACTACCCGATCAGGGTCCCCCTCCTCTCGCTCCCGCTTGGGGTCGTCCTCCCCACTGTTGCCACGTGGCGACCACGTGCGCTTTTCAGAGAGAGAGAGAGAGAGAGAGAGAGAGAGGCGACACACGAAATCTGCAGCGGATGGACGGCTGGCAGGCACGGCAGAAGGAGCGGCAGGAGGACGACAGTCAAGTCAGCAGCCGTAACAACTGCCACATCAGCAGCTCTTGCGTCAGCAACTTGAAGCAGCTTTAGGACCTGGCACATCAGAGGTAGCAGCTGCAGGACCTGGCACATGAGCAGTAGCACCTGCCACATCAGGTCCACTGATCGCAGCAGGAACCGACTGCCACATCAGCAGCCAAGCGAGACCTCGACGTGAGCAGAAGCCACTTTGGCAGCCGCAGCAGCTGCCATCGCCGGCTTCCATATCAGCACCTGCCATATAAGCAGCGGGCACAGCAGCAGCAACCACGTCAGCACCTGCCACATCAGAGATCTGCCACATCATCGGCTGCCACATCAGCACCTGGCACATCAGCAACTGCCACATCAGCAGCTGCCACGTCAGAATCTGCCACGTCACAACCCGACTCATCAACTGCAGCAAGTGTTTCGACAATTGTCATGGTGAGTAGCAGCGCTCCCGGGGGGCGGGTGAACGGAAGCCAGTGCCGGACCCGTGAATGTGACCGGCACCGGTCACGTGACCGGCCGTTTATTTGGTGTTTTTTTTGTGAACGGCTGTTCACGGTGAATGGGTCGACCACTAAAGAGTGGTGTTTTTTTTTGTTTTTTTTTGGAGGGGGGCTTCCCTAGGTACATTCGCCTCATGCCCCACATCATGGTGACATTGAAAAAAAAAAATAAAATCGAAATGACCTACAAAATAGCAAAAGAGAATGCTTATTTTGGCTGGTTGATTTTTTTTTTTCGTTTTTAATTAAAAAAATATATTATTAGTGAAAACAAAAATTTGAAAAAATTATTATCCTACACCTTAAGCGCGGTGGGCCCACGGGGGGGAGGTCATGTTCCGCTGCGCGCCGGAATCGGGCGGAACTTCTGATTCGGCCCGGCGGATGAAGGCGATCGAGGGCGGGGGTGCGCGCAGAGCGGTGCGCGTACCAGATTGTTCACAGCGCCCCGGCAAACGATAGAGCGCGCCCACAAGGGCCGAGAGGCGGCGGGCGTCGATTCCATTGAATATCTCGAAGGGCCCGCCGTCGGATTGCAGGAAAAAGAGAAATTGCAGGAAAAAGAGAAAAAGAGAAAAAAAAGAAAAAAAAAAGGAAAAAAAAAGAGAAAAAGTAAATATCTCGACTGTCTATTTTTTATTTTTT